TGTATTAAAATAATAAAAAAATCCTTGTAAGTGTATTTAAATAGTAAAAAATCCTTGTACAGGATATTAAAATAGTAAAAAAAAATAGTAAAAAAATCCTTGTAAGTGAATTAAAATAGTGAACAAATCTTTTTATGGGGTGTTAAAATAGTAAAAAATTTGTGTAGAGGGTAATAAAATAGTAAAAAGATCCTTTTAAGTATTAAAATAGTTAAAATATCCTTGTATGGGATATTAAAATAGTAAAAATATCCTTGTAAGTGTATTAAAATGGTAAAAAGATAATTGTGCAGGGTATTAAAACAGTAAAAAATCCTTGTAAGTGTAATAAAATAGTAAAAATATGCTTGTGCAGGGTATTTAAATAGTAAAGAATCCTTGCCCAATTTATTAAAATAGTAACTAGAATCCTTGTAAGTGTATTTAAATAGTAAATAAAGTCCAGGTAAGTGTATTAGGATGGTAAAAAAATAATTGTGCAGGATATTAAAACAGTAAAAACCAAAATGTGCAGGATGTTAAAATAGTAAAAAAAAAAAAAATCCCTGTAATGCATCCAATAGTATCCTTGTACATTATTATCTTTTAGTTCATTATCATCTTTTAGTTCATTATCATCTTTTATTTCATCATCATCTTTTATTTCATCATCATCTTTTATTTCATCATCATCTTTTATTTCATTATTATCTTTCATTATTGTCTTTTCTTTGGTTATTATCTTTTATCTTTTATTTCATTATTATCTTTTATTTCATCATCATCTTTTATTTCATTATCATCTTTTATTTCATTATCATCTTTATTTCATCATCATCTTTTATTTCATTATCATCTTTTATTTCATTATCATCTTTTATTTCATTATCATCTTTATTTCATCATCATCTTTTATTTCATTATTATCTTTTATTTCATTATTATCTTTTATTTCATTATTATCTTTTATTTCATTATCATCTTTTATTTCATTATTATCTATCTTTTATATCTATCTTTTATTTCATTATCAGCCCTGGGAAGGCTGATGTGGGAGGGAGGGGGAGCAGAGGAGTGGAAGCAGGAGGGGGAAGAGTCCCCAGGGATGTGTGGGGACAGGAGAAGGTGCAGCTCTGCCTGACCTGGACCAAACCAGGCCCTTGGAGCTCATTTCTCCATCAGGCCCTCGCTGGATTCCTGCAGCTGGAGGTTCTTAACTCAGAGGGACTGAACCAGCATGAAAAGCCTGGCCAAATTTTATTATAAAAGCCCCCAAAACACCCAACCGGGACCTGCAGCTGCTGTAACTGACTCGAAGGGATGTTTGTGTGATTGGTTTTATTTTCCTCCCCCACAGAAATGAGGTATTTTTAACTTGTCCAGTGCAGTTTAAGGAAGTCCAGGATGGAATATTCCCAGCTTGTTGTCTCTGGAATTTCTCACCCATGGACAGGGGTCTGAACTGTTGTTCTCTGGATTTTTGCAGTTCCTCAGGGACCCTGCCATGCCTGGCTTGGAGGAGCTGGACAATTCCCCGGAGGATGAGCCCCAGGCTCTTGTGGCTGGAGAAGGAATCCAAGCCTGGAGCAGCAGCCCAGGGTGACAGCTCTTCATCCAACACCCCCAGGGACAGGGAAACCACTGAGGAGCCCCCCCCTGAGTGTCCCCTGGCCCAGGGTTTCCAGCAGCTGCTCCCAGGGCGTGGCTGCTGCCGGGACAATCCCGAGCAAAATATGGACCCTGGGATGTGTCTCGGGGGCTTCTCCTGAGCTCCCCCAGCTCCTCGTTCTGCCAGAGACACTGAAAAGGAGGAACAGGGAAGGGAAACGAACACTAAACTCAGAAAAAGGTTAAATTCCCACCCCAGGTTGGGATAAAGCTTTGAGGAATAGCAGCACTTTACAGGAGGGTGTAGGAGAACATGGGACTTTTCAGGGAGTGACTCATTGCAATGTAAATTCCTTTTATAGCTGATTTTCTTTCGTTGGCAATAATACTCTTGTTATATCCACCCCACTCTGCTTCTCTGAATCATTTTCAGCACATGGCAAACTAAAAAGAAATTTGTTAGTCCTCCCCTCTCCCCAGGATGAAGCTGTGCCACAAACTCCTCCCAGAGAGGCCTCCTCCCATCTGCTTCCTCACAGCCACCCCAGTGCCCTGCACAGCCAAACTGACTTGAAAATAACATTTAAACCGTGTATCAGTCATCAGCAGACACTAAAACCTCTTGTTCACCACCAGCAAAGGGAAAGTTGGCTGAGAGAGATGTTTTGAGTGCCCTAAAGCACAAGAGCCCAAGTTCAGCCTCCTGTGGGGTCTGGAAGGTGTCCAATAAAGCACAAAGAACAAGTGAGCCACTTCTGCACTAAAAAGATGGGGTTTAATTGATGATTTTTCCTGGGTTTGATACAAATTGTGTAAAAGAAAGAAAAGAAAGGGGCTTGTCTGTTTGCAGATGACTCACGGGAGGGGCCTGGGCCCTGTCAGAGCTGGGGGTAACTGAGGTGAGGCCCTTCCAGCCTTTCCTGGGACACTCCAGGCCAGCAGAGGCCAAAAGCTAAATGAGGTTAGTTTGCCTTGTAGAACTAATCTAATCCCCTGGGATTAGGCAACCTGCTGGCACAAGGGAGTTCTGTGAAGGCTGAGCCACGTTTCATGGCTGGAGGAATTGTTTGAGCTGCAGAATATCTGCTTTGAACCACCCCCTTCTCTGGGCTGGGCTGGGAACAGATGGGGAACCACAGCTCCCAGCAGCAACCACCTCCTGCACAATAGAGGGCACAACTGTTAAAACATCTCCTGGATACATACATACATATATAAATATAAATAAATATATATATATATTCCTGAATAAACCCTACACCAGCCTTCTGTCAGGGAAGGGTCTGTCAGGGATCTGAGTCATTAAATATTGTTACACAAACAGGCTCTATTTGTGTCAAATAGGCCAAAGTTAAAAACCATTTGCTTGGGGTACAGAAGACACAAAGAATCCCAGACTGGTTTGGGTTGGGAGGACCTCAAAGCCCATCCAGTGCCACCCCTGCCATGGGCAGGGACACCTTCCACCAGCCCAGGTTGCTCCAAGCCCCGTCCAACCTGGCCTTGGACACTTCCAGGGATCCAGGGGCAGCCACAGCTTCTCTGGGCAACCTGGGCCAGGGCCTCCCCACCCTCCCAGCCAGGAATTCCTTCCCAGTATCCCATCTGACCCTGCCCTCCCTTCCCCAGGTGAACACCTCCAGCTCTCCCAGCCTGTCTTGCCCTGTTGAAGTTCCAGTTTCAGGTACAAGATCCAGTCACTGGGATTAGTTTCAGGCCACACTCATTTCTCACCTTGTAAAAACCCGACAAACATTCCCAAGAAAGCTGCAAACCAAAGTCTGGTTGTGCTTCCTCCCTGGTGTGAACCTTGTGTCCAGGCCAGTCCCCCTCGGGCTCCTGCACATCAGCTGTGAACCCACAGGAGGGAGAACACAAGCTCACCTTTCCTGCAGTTTCCTGACATTACAACCACGTCCTGCACAGGCTGTGAGTGACACCAGTGACCCCCTCGTGTCCCTCCAGCCGGTGGCACAACGGCAGCTCCAGGGTGTGCTGCAGGTCCTGGCAGCTGGAGAGATCCCCTCGGGGAGCAGGTGGATCCCTGGCAGTTCCAGACTCCAAGCACAGCACTTACACTCAGCAGTTTGGTACCACGGGGGCAGAACTTGATACAGGGAAAGTTATAAAAGCTTTGAGACACAGGGGAGAGTCAAATGCCTTAAAACCCACAGAGAACTCGTGAGAGAAGGAGTCACCAACAGCAAATGAATGTACAAGATCAGCCCAAGGCTGTAAAACATCCTCTTCCTCCCTTCTGTGCACTCCAGACAGAAGAAACTGGATTTCAAATCATGGAAACGTGAGATAAGCACATTTTAAGTGGGGTAAAGGGCAGCCCCAAAGCTGGCACAATTTAACTGGGGCAAGGTCAGCCCTAAAGTTGGCACATTTTAAGTGGGGCAAAGGGCAGTTCTAAAGCTGGCAATTATTTCAAGGTCAGACTGTGTACAACAAATAAATCCATACCCCTATTCACCTTTTAGGTGAACTCATTCACCTGAACATTCACCTTTTAGGTACAGAAGGGGAAAAGTGCAGGAAAACTGTTCATTTATGAGCAAAAAGCCTCCCCTGGAGAAAACAACACCTGTCTGATCTCATAGAATCACAGAATCATTTGAAAGCTGTTGGTCTGACTCTCAGTTGTTCTTTATATTCCTGAAGTAGGACTGGCAGCAGTTTGTTGGAGTTTTTTATTCTAATATCAGGAAATACATTGAATACCAATTGGTATCTCTTACACTGAGCAGCATGAAATTAATTCCAAGGACTGTGGTGCCAGTAAATGTCCTTTGTGCCAGAGCCATCACAGGGCAGGAGTAGTTTGATTGCCATGCAGAACCTGCCGAGTGTAGGGACCTGCTTAAAAACCAGAACCTTTTACAAAAAAAAAACAAAACAAAAAAGCTACTTTATATTCACCTGAACAATAATATAAAATCTTAAAATCAGCTCTTATCCCAGCACAGCCCCTGCTCCAGGGATGGGCTTTGTCCTGTTTGCTCACTGACAGTTCACTGAAGCCTCAGACACGGGTGGAGGTTTGGAGGATGAAATGATGGAAAGCCTTGGGGTGGAAGGAAGAAGCCTGAAGATTCCAGCAGGAAAGCCTGGCAGGCTGCCATTCCCTTTGGAAGAGATCCAGTCCTATGTACATATTCACAAGTGTGTCCTGGGAGAAGAGGAGCTTCTTACAGAGTCTGGGGTTCGTCTCAGTCCAGGGTTTGGAAAGCAAACCAAGAACAAAGAACTGTAAATTATCTACATACAGAGAACCACGTGGTAACTATGGACCAGCCCAGGGGGAGCTCAGCCCCACAGCTCTTCTGTCCTTCCAAACTTGTAGATCAGAGTACTGAGGGGAAAAAAATAAAAGGAATAAAAATCAGACCATACATAAGGTAGTTTTAACAGTGTTCTTGACTCTTATCCTGTAAATCAGCAGCCCTGAATTTGCATTCCAGCCAGTGGTTGTATTTTGTTTCCTGGGCGTGGCTGAAGCTCAAACAAAAAATAACCAGTTTCACAGCCCTTCTGAAGGGAAAAACTGGTATTTATGGGATTCTAGGACTGATCCACAGAGTTCCAGAGCAGCAAGTCTCAGCCTGGCACCTGGAACCAAGCTGAGCATGACACGTGCTGGGATAAAATCTAAGCAGTTCCATTTTTATGAGCCAATCCAAAAGGAAATGGATCCTGTGGTGGAGAGGGCAGATCCAAATTACAAAAGCTCCATCCCTGGCAGTGTCCCAGGCCAGGTTGGATGGGGTTTGGAGCAACCTGGGCTGGTGGAAGGTGTCCCTGCCCATGGCAGGGGGTGGCACTGGGTGATCCTCAAGGTCCCTCCCAACCCAAACCAGTCTGGGATTCCAAATAAGACTAAAGATTTCAGGCACAGTGAAACTATTCTCAAAATCTGCCCTCAGCAATTTCCCACTTCAATCCCAGAGGAGATTTAGGAAGTGCTGTTTCCTGCAGGAGCATCCCTAATTTCCCAGCCAGGGCATTGCTCCAGAGCCCACTGATCTCATTCCCTGCAAAGCATTTGATGTGGGACTGGAAGGAAAAGGGTCAGCTCAGGAATTTTAAAAAAGGAGGTGATGTGAAATTTTTCAGTGACTGATCTTGGAACTGACACTATTTAATGCTTTCAGTGTCTTTTATTAATAAAATCCCTGGATTGCAGAATGCATTCTACATCTAAAGAGTTATTACAGATGCCAACTCAGTTCAAAGTGTTGTATGAGAAACCCAACAATATGAGCTGAAATAAATCCAGTGTGCTGTCACAAAACACAGTAGCACGCTCTCAGAAAATGGAATTATCACTCTTTATAACTGCAAGCTCAGCCACTGGAAGGAAATACAGGTAATATCAACTATCAGATAATTGAGCCATCGGTGTGAAACAGTCTGGAAAGGGGCAACTGAATCTCCCACCTGGTTCTGCTGGGACAGATGCCAAGGTATTTGTAGCACAGAGCTAAAAGCATCATTGCCATGATCCAAAGACACTGGCAACATCTCAGCCAGAACACTGGCTGGATCCACATTCCAGAGCTGTAAATTCAGGGAGAGCTGCACTAACAGGAGCCTGAGGGGAAGCAAGCAAGAGCCTCTCATGGGCTGGGAAGGGGCAAATCAAACCTCATTTTTAAGCTCTGGGGCAAAGGGAGTAGGAAAAAGAACTCTTTTTGCAGGAGTCTCAATGTATGGAAGCAGGTGAGCCCCTCTGGAAGGAGGGAAGTTTGTCCAGGTTACTTACCTGAAAAATATTAATGCATTTTGGAAAAACACTGCTAAGCCAGGGTACACATTAGTGTCTGCAAAGGAAGGAACAAAGGGAAAACATTGAGTTTTCAGCACTGGGAGGGGTGTCCAACACACAGCTCAGGGTCTCTGACCCAAACCTGGGTGCTGTGGCTTGGATCTTGTCAGACACCACACACACGTCCACCCTTTGGGACCTCCTGCCAAAGGCTGGCAGGAAAAGTACTTTTCTAGAGGTGAAAAGAACCCAACTCACTCTGTGTGACATATGCTCCAAAGAGGATCCACATGGAAGCAATGAGGGATCCAAACATCAGCATGAAGCCAATGAAGAGCCAGATCCGAGCACCTGCAGGGAAGATCAAAACCTCTGAGAACAGGGGGGTTGTTATCCATGTTATCCCTGGGGACAGACAATCCAGCTGCTCTGGGATGATGGTTAAACCCTGGATCAGGGACAAAACAACCCACCTGCTCACTCATGGGAAAGGAAAAATATTCTCTTTTTCTCTTGAGCTGGTTCACGAATGACACACAAAAGAGCATCACAGGCCAGTTCAACCATCAGTAAATCCCACCAGATTCCCCCTGGGGCATCTACAAATCCCATGGAAAAGGTTGCTGGGACCCACATGGGAAACAGGACAGGAATTATGAAGGGAAGCAGAGAGGACAGCAAGCCCATGGACACCACCCAGAGGGAGTGGGATGTCTGGGACACATTCCTAAGGAATGTCTGCTCCAGAGCCCACCCCAAGGCAGGACTTTAGTTCTCCCAGCAGCCACCCAGGATTTGCAGAGGAAAGTTTAAGAAGCCATGATATCCAGCAGTTGAATTTTTCTAAGTTCACCTTTTTAATAAAGACAGACCTTATCTCCAAGGGTTAATTCTGTAAAGAAATTCATTCACAGAATTCTCTCCTGCTCCTTGTCTTCAGATTATTTCTTTCACCACAAGTTGGAAAAAAACCCCAACACAGAAATAACCAGTCCTTCAACTCAGTGGGACTTTTAGAGTTAATTTACCTGTTCTTCCTAAGCATCCATCACTGTAGCTGTCTCCTCTCACCTGTGCATTGGACACAGCATTTATCCTAGGAACAAAACCAGCAGACACACTTCAGATTATCAGAAAATCAATTTAAAGTTATAAGTTAAAAATTCTGGAAAAAAATTCCTTGGCATTCTGCATAGTCACAAGCCCAAATTCCTCCTTTCTTCTTGCCAATATTGGGTGCTTCAATAAAAGTTGTTACTTCTCCTTCAAGGTTCCAGATTTACATCTCCATGACAAGAGCCAGACCATCACCTCTCCCATTTGAGGAAGTTTTGGGCAAGGAACAGGCATAAAAATTGTTTCAACATAGGAGGGAAAATGCAGTTAAATTGTTTTATATTGAGGTATTAAGTTAAGTATTGGGCTGCCCATCCCTGGAAGTGTTCCAGGCCAGCTTGGAGCACCCTGGGCTGGTGGAAGGTGTCCCTGCCCATGGCAGGGGTGGCACTGGGTGGGCTTTGAGGTCCCTCCCAACCCAAACCATTCCATGATCCTACGATTTGTCCATACTGGACATTTGTCCTGCACCACCTGGGTTGGACAGCTGGAGCTGAGTTGCTCAGAACCCCCCTGCCCCACTCACATGAAGAAGGCCAGTGTGGAGAAGACCCCACAGGTGTGGAAGGCGTGGTTCAGCTGCTCCGGCTTGGGATAGACCACGGCGGCGTCGATCATGATCCACCAGCCTGTGAAAAACTGGGAGCAAAACACAGCCCTGTGAGGAACCTGGCAGGGCACAGGGGCAGAGACAGAAACCAGGGCCAGGGGTCAGGGACAGCACTGGGTTGATTGGGTTTTAACGAGCACAAACTCTTCTGGAAAGACACTGAGTTGGACTCTAAAAGTGCTTGATGGACAAGTCCTGCACAAACCTCGGTGTTCCCAGTTTTGGAGGAGTGTTTGGGAATTGGTCACATTTCTAATCAAATTAAATATCAGGGTATGGATAAATTTATGCCCAGAGAAGCTGTGGCTGCCCCTGGACCCCTGGAAGTGTCCAAGGCCAGGGTGGACGGGGTTTGGAGCAACCTGGGCTGGTGGAAGGTGTCCCTGCCCATGGCAGGGGTGGCACTGGATGGGCTTTGAGGTCCCTCCAAACCCAAACCTTCCCTGATTCTATGAAATTCCCTGTGCAGCCTTAGAAAAGAGAGTCCTCTAACCACAGATGAGGTACAGATGATGCAGAACAGAGGTGTTCTAACTGATCTAATTATGCAGAAAATCCACGAGGAATTTTTTTTTTAAAGGGGGGCAGAAATGGTTCATCATCAGCAACGTCACAGGAATCATAAAAACGCTGCTGACAATCCCACAACACTTTAAGGAATCACAGGATGGCACCTCACAGAATCCCAGAACATGCTGAGTTGGAAGGGACCCACCAGGATCATCCAGTCCAACCCCTGGCCCTGTGCAGGACTATCCCCAGGAGTCACCCCCTGTGCCCCAGAGGATCAGCCAAACCCTCCTGGAGCTCTGGCAGCCTTGGGGCCGTGCCCACTGCCCTGGGGAGCCTGGGCAGTGCCCAACCACCCTCTGGGGGAAGAACTTTTCCTGAGATCCACCCTGAGCCTGCCCTGACACAGCTCCAGCCATTCCCTGGGTGCTGTCCCTGGTCCCCCCAGAGCAGAGCTCAGTCCCTGCCCCTCCTCTGCCCCTGCCCAGGCAGTTGGAACTGCACTGAGGTCTCCCCTCAGCCTCCTCTGCTCCAGCTGAACACACCAAGTGCCCTCAGTGCCCTCCCACGGCTCCAAACCCAGGCCCTTCCCCAGCTCCGCGGACGCTCTCGAGGGGCAGTTCAGGGGGAACCCTCCCCAGAGGTGAAGCCAAACTGCAGCTCCCCGTGGTGCTGCCCCAGGTGCCCCCAGCCCCGTGGCAGCCCCAGCTCACCAGCACCCCTGCCACGATGGAGGCCACAGCATTCCTGCGCTCGCTCCAGTCGATGCACTCGCACTCCGGCCAGCGGAAATTGTCCAGGAATCCTGCCATGGCCTCCCAGCTCACACCGGATCTTTCACCTGGATCTTTCCATGAACAGCCGTGTCCCAGGCACCTGGAACGCAGCCAAACAGAAATCAGTAACATCTGGAGATGGACAACTCTCCTGAGTGGCTTTTGCAGTTTTTTACAGGGTTAAGTATTTCACACAGAACCTTCCAGTGGAAGGTTCCCTGACCACGGATCGAGGTGATTTTAAGGTTCCCCCCCCAACCCAAACCATTCCATGATTCCACGATAAACTCAATGGATGCTTTACTGAGATATTTTTTAAAAACAACCCACCTTCAACAGAATTACAAAAGAAAATCATCACACAACCCAAAAACTTTAAGGCTTAAAAGTCATGTCACGGATTCTGGATTAGACACTAACGTTTCCAGTCTCCAAATTAGCAGACAATATAATACAGTGCTTTTCTAACACAGGGGAAAAGAAATCAACTCAGCAAGTCAACTGATACCAAGGGTAAGGAAGGTCTTGCTGCAGAGAGAGAAGGTCACAGAGAACTTTAAATATGGGAAGAGGAAAGCAAAGTTAATTAACTGATTCACAGCTACTTCAGCACCATTCTCTTTGGGTTTAGTATTGCCAACCCCCATAATTCATTTCTAGCCACTTGTTAAAGACTAACAACAAATGTCCTTCAGGATTATGTTACAGCACAGACTGATGGCGACCATATTTCTGGCTAATGTCAACAATCAGAAATTCTACACTAAGAAGTGGAATAAAAATGAATAAATAAAGAGTTTGACTGCATTACAAACACAGGTCACTGTCAGAGACTGAAATGGTTAATGATTTATGCATTCTAGGAGACTTTTGCAGGCTTTTGACTTGCATGATACCTCTGATGAGCAGTCGGGCCCCTCCCTCCCTCCAGTGCTGAAGGTGTGAAGCCCTGAAAAGGCAAGAAGCCGAGCTCGCAGGCTTTTGACTGTTGATACATCTGATGAGCAATCAGGCCCCTCCCTCCCTAAAGGCAGGAACCGGGAGAGACACAAAAAAACTCAGCACAGACCCAGGAGATGTTGGAGGCTCGAGGCATGGCCCGTGATATAATAACTCATAACTTCTTAGAGTATGGGGGCTTCCCCCCTTCACCCCCAGCAGATCAAGGCCACCACTTCAACTGACAGACATGGAAGCATCGCTGGACCCCGTGGGCGGTGACTATAGACATCTGTCCACTCTCAGCTTTTCTTTCCCTTACTCTCCCTTGCTCTTATCCTGCCTTTCTCTCCCCTGTGCATTTTCTTTCCCTCCCCAAAGGTTATCTCTGTGTCACATTGTTGTATGACAGCACCCAAACTGCTAGCATGCCTGTTAATACAGAATTGTTAGAATAAATCTTGTCAATATATGTTTTCAAACACCGATTATTTAGTGTCGTTTCGCTTTAATCCACCCCAAAGGAATTATTGATCAAACCTGGGTTACCCCCTCTGCCCCCTTTTTCCTGGGGCGGGTTGTAACAGTCACCTCCTGTGAATAAGATCAGAACGTCTGTCCTCCTGTACCCAGCTCCAGAAAGCCACAGTTGTGAGGTTACTTTAAACACCAAAATCACTGACTCAGTTCCAACATTATTTTTCGTCTGTGCAGTATCTGGGCTCAACCATCTGGCCCTTCCTTGTGTTCAAATAGCTCCATCTGGGCTCTGTTTGTCCCTCCTCAGAGCATGGATGTGTCTGTGCCCTTCCCCTCGCCCAGGCTGGATGAAAGAACTCTTCTCCCTGGGACAGAATGGCTCCAGCTCCAAAGACACTGAACTGCATAAAAACCAGCCCTTCCTTTCTGTGATTTAAAGGAGACACATTGTTTGGATTGGCAGCTACAAGGGATATAATGCTGAGATCATTAAGCCAACTTCCAATCCACAGAGTGACTCACGTTCAGCCCAGTAAAGCCCTTCCCACTGTGCACAGTCAGAGCTGAGCAATGTTCTGGGGACACCACACTCTGCACAGCCCCTGCCTGGATCACTGAGGGCTTTCTGAACATTCCTGACAAACCAGAGGCGTTTTGCTCACTTCAGAATCTGAGAAGAAACTACAGACATGGAATATGGATCGAAATGGATCATGGAAGGGACCTCAAAGCCCATCCAGTGGCACCCCTGCCATGGGCAGGGACACCTTCCACCAGCCCAGGTTGCTCCAAGCCCCGTCCAACCTGGCCTGGGACACTTCCAGGGATGCAAGGACAGCCACAGCTTCTCTGGGAAACCTGTGCCAGGGCCTCCCCACCCTCCCAGCCAGGAATTCCTTCCCAATATCCCATCTCTCCCTGCCCTCTGGCAGTGGGAAGCCATTCCCTGTGTCCTGTCCCTCCAGGCCCTTGTCCCCAGTCCCTCTCCAGCTCTCCTGGAGCCCCTTTATGCAGCCACACAGCTGTGGCTGCCCCTGGATCCCTGGAAGTGTCCAAGGCCAGGTTGGACGGGGCTTGGAGCAACCTGGGCTGGTGGAAGGTGTCCCTGCCCATGGCAGGGGGTGGCACTGGAGGGGCTTTAAGGTCCCTCCCAACCCAAACCATTCCATGATCCACATCTGTAGTTCCCAACACCCCCAGAAACAAAAGAAGAAAATAATAATAATCTGTATTTCACCGTGAAAAACCAGCTGAGGCTCCACCAGGAGCACAAGACCAGGCTGAAGTTTGTCCCCACTCAGATTAACACAGACATAGGGACAGGTTTTAGCCCAATTCCATCCTGCTCCACAAAGAGACACCTCTGCTGGAGGCAGATCCTTTCAGCTGGAATTTCTTACCTCCACAAAGGTACAAAACTCGCTCTCTGCCTTCAGCTTCCACCCACACACCTCACAGGAGGAAACAGGCAAAGCCCTTGGCATCCACTGCCCTCCAATGCCCTTCCCACAATCAGCCTCCTCCCCTTTTCCAAGGACAGACAGGTTCTCCCACTGCTCCTGGAGACATTCCTCACTCATGGCCAACGAACAGAAACACATTTGCAAGAGCAAACTGCAGACACTGAAACAGGCTGAGCACAACTGAAGCTGTAAAAACCAGCCTTGGCAGGTGGCAGCACTCAGAGTGAACCCACCTGTGTGTTATTCAGGCAGAAAACACAATGGCAGCTCAACACTTTCACCTGAAAAATCAGCTTTTCTCTCCCAAAATGAACTGATTTCACTTCAATAAAATATCAAAAGCAGCTGCAAGGAAATACAGAAAGTCTACACAAAGAAAACTGGAATATCATCAGGTTAGGAAAGAACAGACCCTCCTGTTCCCAAAAAAGACACAAAGGAGGAAGAGAAGAAACTACAAGTCAAGAAGAAAAGTCAAGTTTTCCATGAAGAAGATGCATCTTCCAGAAGCAACTCATCAGTATATGCTTTAACCCACATACACAGATGATGAAAAGTAATTCAGGAGCTTCTGTGAACATTTCTATGCAGTCCACTGTGGTTTTTTCCACTTATTCCAGTAATTCCCTGCAGTTTCACTTTCAGTTCTCCCCATCCCACAGCCCTGGGCTGTGCTAATTTTTAAGTATTACAGAAGGACAGAAGGAGGAAAGAGAGAAACTTAGACAAAAACAAGGGTGTGTGGCAAAATTATTAAAAAGTGATGGTATTTATATTTACATTCTTTGTGATGCCCCTGGATCCCTGGGAGTGTCCAAGGCCAGGCCGGACCGGGCTGGAGCAGCCTGGGCTGGTGGAAGGTGTCCCTGCCCATGGCAGGGGTGGCACTGGATGGGCTTTAAGGCCCCTCCCCACCCAAACCATTCCGTGATTTATCCCTTTACAGGAATGTGATGCTCAGCCCCGGAGCAAAGCGAGAGCTCTTTAAGAGCGCTATTAAAGTTTGAAGACTTGAGAGAGGCAGGAGAAGAAAAAAAAAAAAAACCCAGATGAATCCTGCGGTTCCCCAGCGGCCGATTCGGGCTCTAAACCCGCACCTGGGGCAGCGACATTCCCGCGACGGGGCGGGAGGAGGCAGGACCCCGAGCCGCAGCCAAAGCCCTGCCAGGAACGGTAACGCTCGAAATAAATTGCCATTTAGACGCAATAAGCCTCTTTTTTTCCCCTTCAAGCCTCACCCGCACAGCCCAAAATCCGCGCGCGGCACCGGCGGCGCCTCCCCGGGCGAGGTCAGGCGGTGACACACCTGGACGCGCCGGGGCCGGCCCGGAGCGCCCTCGCGGGCGCGTTCCCTCTCTCTGTCTGCCGCTCCCATTCCCGCTCCCATTCCCGCTCCCGCTCCCGTTCCCCCCGCCCCGACCCCCCGTACCCGCTCCTGGGCGCGACTCTTCCGCCCGCGGCCGCTGAGCCCCGTGAGTGACGCGCCCGCCCGCCAATCAGGAGCGAGCGCCGCGCGTCAGCCGGGGTTGCGTGAGAACGGAGCACCGCGATTGGTCAATGCGGTGGTGAGCCCCGCCCCTCTCCCCCGGGGGCGGGGCGGGAAGGGGCGGGGCCAGCGCGCTCCCGCCTTTCCCCTCAGGTCCCGCCCCCTTCCCCCGTCATGGCCGCCCCCCCTCAGAGCCCGGCGGCCCCTCAGAGCCCACAGACCTCCCACACGGCCCGAAATAACCCCCGCCCTCCTCCGCGCCCCAAAAAGCGCCAACATTAATATTTTCGAGCAGTTCCCGTGTCGGAATAGATAAAACTTCACCCCCAAAATGCCGTTGCGCCTCAGTCCCGTGACTGGTTTAATAAAAGCAAACGGAATTAATGAGCAGTTCGTAGGATTAAAGAATCGTGGAATGGTTTGGGTTGGGAGGGACAAGCAAAAGGGGAGTCACAAAAACATCAATAAACTAACCGAGGAACATATTCTGTCTAAAACCACAAAACAAATGCGTGACAGAAAATGGATGTTGAATAAAAGCCCCGTGAGAAGGAAAGGAAAAGAACTGGATCGAAGTCAACAGACTGAAGATGAGAGGGCACATCTCACAGACACTGAATTTAAAGAATCATGGAATGGTTTGGGTTGGGAGGGACCTTAAAGCCCATCCAGTGCCACCCCTGCCATGGGCAGGGACACCTTCCACCAGCCCAGGTTTCTCCAAGCCCCGTCCAACCTGGCCTTGGACACTTCCAGGGATCCAGGGGCATCACAAAGAATGCAAATATAAATAATATCAACCTGTGCCAGCGCCACAGGGGGCACAAAGTAAGAAAAGGGGCAGTGTGAGAAAGGCCCAGAGAGATCACAAGACAAGCTGTGGACCCATGAAATGCCACTGAAATCCCACTAAATCCTACTATAAGTTGTACTCAAAGCCCTCCTCTTCCAGCTCCCCTCCTTTTTTTCCTTCTAGTTATATGTATGGACTGTGTTCCATTAAGTCTGCAGACACCACACATCCCTGTTCCCTCAGAGAGGCAGTTTCTCCCACTAAAAATAAAGATTTACCACTTGTCTTTTTTTCTTGTAAGATTCCCTGCTCTTGCTTCTCCTTTTACTCCTCCTCGGAGCCTTCTCTGTATCTCCATGTTTGTCCTGAGATGTAATTACTCTGAAACAAAGGGATCCTCAGCAGGCCTTGACATTTACAATGTCTACAGAATAGAAGAATTTCTTCTCAAAAATCGAACCTAAAGCTCTCTTTCAGTTTTAAACCATTCCCCCTTGTCCTCTCACTTCCTTTCCTTGGAAAGCACTGACATGGATAATTAGCTCACTAACAGTGCTTGAAAGAGCCATCAGATTGTTGGGCAAGAAAGAAATTCTTCACCCTGAGAAAAAGGGATACTTCAACTAATATATCTTATATATCTTACACAAACCATCATTATCTTCATATTAAGGTATCACCTAGTGAAGCCTTTCAACCCACAAGCTGTAAGGTCACTGAACCGACACGTGGACGTTCTGGGAACAGTCAATATGTCTGGTTCTGGAAATAGCAGTGATTTCACCCTTTTGAGGTCAACGATAAAATAACATTTATCAAATTCAAATTCACAGTCTGTGGCAGCTCGAAAAATTCCTTCTGAAGGCCGTTCTCTCCTGGCTATTTCTTCCACAGCAGTTGGTATTCCTTGTTCTAGAACGATTTACTAAACACTTGTTCTAGCAGGATTTACTAAACACTGCTCTGAGGATTTTGTGAGCTCAGAGCAACAAAATTATAGACCAGCCCTGCAAAAATGTTCTCCTCCACACACCTGGGGAAAATAGAAATGTAAATTATTTTTCCATCATCATCATAAATGTCGAAGAAGTGGATTTTTGTGCCTGGCAGTTTTGATGACAACAGTGTCAGGCTGATTTAAAGTGCTGGAGTCAGGTCACACCTACTCCATTTAAACCTGAGGAGTCTGAATAAGAGCATAAAAATCCCCCACTCTGCTGATTCATCCATTACAGCAACTTCAATATTGAAACTGCTGATGCTTCACTTCATCAAGAGCCAAACTGTTTTCCAGCAGGGCTGCATTTACTGCAAACTCGTTTCTGTTTTATCTTGTGCAATGAATTCGATTTGCTCTTTAAATCTCCCACTGGAGTGGTTTAAACAGTAATTCAGATCCGATTCCTGCAGATCATAATGAAAAGCTAAATGCAATCTTTTAAGGAATATTATGTCAAAGGACTTCCAGAAAAGTACGTTTAATTTACAGTTTTCATTCTAAACAAAAATAAACTATTGAAATAAACAGACATTCAATCACACAGCTGTTGGAGCCAGGCTGGGAGAGCTGAGGGGGCTCAGCCCAGAAAAGAGAAGGCTCCAGGGAGACCTCAGAGTCCCTTCCAGGGCCTAAAGGGGCTCCAGGAGAGCTGGAGAGGGACTGGGGACAAGGGATGGAGGGACAGGAAAAGCAGGAATGGCTTCCCACTGCCAGAGGATATTGGGAAAGAATTCTTCCCTGGGAGGGTGGGGAGGCCCTGGCCCAGGTTGGCCAGAGAAGCTGTGGCTGCCCCTGGATCCCTGGAAGTGTCCAAGGCCAGGTTGGACCTTAAGGCCCACCCAGTGCCACCCCTGCCATGGGCAGGGACACCTTCCACCAGCCCAGGCTGCTCCAAGCCCCGTCCAACCTGGCCTTGGACACTTCCAGGGATCCAGGAAGTGTCGCCACACTCCCAGCCAGGAATTCCTTCCTAAATCTTGTCATGACTAATTTGCTGTAACACAGAGGCTTGAAAGACCCAGAGTGTTCACCAACAAATAAATTTCCAAGACCTGTTTCTGTGTTAAAGATCCAAAAATGGACTTCTGCACATGTACAGCCCAAGCCCAGACACTCAGAACCCTCCCTTCAGGGCCATTTAATTTAATCTTAAATAGATGAATAGACTTTTAAAATACATGCATTGAACCTGCCAACAATTTATGAGCTATAAGTATTTAAATATAAAGGTCAAACTAACACAGCACAGCAAGACTTTTGCTGCCACTTCATCTTTTAATGTGTTTTTCTTACGCCTCAATTTTCCCTTTTGAAGAGATAACAGACTGTAAAAGCGATTACACTCTGTGCTAAAGTGAAGCATTAATTTGGATTTAAGCAGAAGTAAAATGACCTGAAAGAGAGTAATGGCTTTAACCTCGAGCACAGGGGAGGTGTGAGGGGCAGAAAAAGGCCCCTGCTCCGTGACAAAAATTAACTCTACCACAGCCCAAACTGGCACATTTCCTTTAATAATATTTAAAAATAAATTCATTATTTGTAATGCAAATGCCCATCCGACAAACAAATTTCTTTTAACTGCTGTAACAGTGTGGATTTGACATTTTCAGCGTACCCGAAATTTCCAGAGTGCAACATTTCATTAATAAAGTGCATTCAAAATCTTCACAAGAGACAGGAATTAGTATTCAATTATTTCAGTGTAAAGTTTAACCACTTAAACAGAGAAGACTTCCACCCAAACCTTTTACCATCTTCCCCTTGGCTCTCCTTCGTGTCTGGATGAGAAGCCTTTTCCACCAGAGCCTCGTAAGTGTTTTGTGCTCGAACAATTTCCTTCTCTGGGCTGAAATGCACCATCTGCCTGCTCAGAATGGGAACGACCAGGTTGAAGTTGTCGACTCTCTTGTTTAGTTTCCTGATGTCTTCCACGAACTGCTCGCAGACCCGACTCCACTGCTTCTGCTCCAGCGGCGTCATGGGCTCTCCCAGCTTCCTCCTCGAGGCCACCACGCTCTTCCTCAGCCGCTCGATGGTCTCCCGGATCTCCTTCTGCAGCAGGATCCACTCGGGCTGGTACCCGTTGTCAATCAGGATCCTGTTGAGGTTGTGGGTCATGGGGTCGATGTGGGGACAGTCCGAGAATTTCTGCAGAGGTTTTCCTTTGCCCCTGAGGTTGTCGAAGTCTCCTTTGGCCATGGATTCCTGGATGAGGTCCTCCACCAACCGTTCCACCGCCTGAGTTATTTTCACCTTCTTGCTCTCCCTCACATCCTTGGCTCTCATCAGGTCAGTCTCAGGGTAGCTGCTCCCGAGCCTGTGCTGCCGGTACTCCAGCACCTGCTCCGTGGCGCGGTCCACTCGGAACTGCATGTACTGCTTCTCCCTCTGGCTCGGCGTTCCGATGCCGACGCCTTCGAAACTCAAGTAGTGCCTGTGCTGCAGGGACTTGCATTTGAACTGGTCTTCCTCCTCTTCGCTGTCCTCGCCGGGTTT